GGAACATAAGGCAGGGATCAATGTCAGTAACAGAGTACTACAACAGGCTGATTGATCTATGGCAAGAAATGGATTTGTTTTATACAATTCCATGGAAGTGTACTGATGATGGAGTACTATACAATCAAGTCCTTGAGAAAGATCGAGTATTTGATTTTCTTCAAGGTCTCAATAAAAACCTAGATGAAGTACGAGGTCGTATTCTTGGAATCAAACCCTTGCCTTCACTTCGTGAGGTGTTCTCTGAGGTTTGACGAGAAGAAAGCAGGAGGAAAGTCATGCTGAATCCTCACACGGAAACCTAGAGGAACAATCTCAAGGATCTACACTTGCATCTACTTGGTCTCAACCTCAGAAGAAAAAAGAAATCCACTTGTTGTGTGAACACTGCAAAAAGGTGTATCACACAAAGGAGACTTGCTGGGACATTCATGGAAAACCTCCAGATTGGAAACCACGGAATCAGAGGAAAGGCAACCCTCAGCTCATGTAGCCGAATCTGCTGAGACAAAGAAGCCTAACACAACAGCTTTCACACCGGAACAAATGGAGATTTTAAGGTCTCTTCTTCACCAGCAACAGATTTCTGAGGCATCAGGTTCTACACCTACAACAACAATTGCACAACGAGGTAATATCTCATCATCTCTATTATCACGAAAAGATGATATTAATGACTGGATTGTTGACACCGTTGCATCAGATCATATGACAGGACATCATACAGCCTTTTTGAATTATAAAAAATCTGATTATGAGATAAAGTCTCAGTGGCAAATGGGAATACAATAATTGTGGTTGGAGTTGGACATGTTTTTTTCCAAGAACTTTATTTGAAATTTGTTCTTCATGTTCCGAGTTTAAGATATAATCTCCTTTCTGTTAGTAAGTTAACTAAGGATCAAAATTGTAAAGTAACATTTCTTTGTGATCGATGTATATTTCAGGATCCGTCTTCGGGGAAGATGATTGGCAATGCTGAAGAACGACATGGTCTCTACTATCTCTTTCTGCATCTAGTTCGTTGAATTCAGATGTAATTTAATGGCACAAACGCTTAGGGCATCCTAGTTTTCAATATTTGAAACATTTGTATCCAAACTTATTTCTCAATAAAGATCCTTCTTCTTTCATTGTGAGTCATGTATTCCTACGAAACAGTCCAGAAAAAATTATCCTATTCACAATTACAAACCTTCCAAACCGTTCCATCTTGTTCACAGTGATATTTGGGGAGCATCACGGGTTGTGGATTTAACAGGCAAGAGATGGTTCATCACCTTCATAGATGACCATACTCGTGCTTGCTGGGTCTATCTCTAGAAGAACAAATCTAATGACGGGTATGCGTTTCAACAATTCCAGAAAATGATAGAGAATGTGTTCCAATGCAACATTCACGTACCTCGCACAAATAATGGAGGAGAGTACTTTGCACAGATTCTTGGAGATTACCTCATTTAGAATGGCATATTTCATCAAAGCTCATGTACATCTACCCTACAACAAAATGGGGTTGCAGAACGAAAAAAAAATCGTCATTTGTTGGAGGTAACTCGATCACTCATGTTTGCTAGTGCTGT